AAAAACGGTAGAGTGGTAGAGGAGTTTTGTTGATGACACCCACGCAATTACTCACTCAACCATCCTTCGTCTTCATGCAACGGCTACTTCCCCACTCCTACATTTTAAAGTGCCTCCAGAACTGACTTCCAGCACTGCAGGCATCGGTAAAGGCCAACTTTAATTCCGTGTGGCTAGTACAACTACTGCCACCACTGATGCGCCAAACAATGTTCTGGTGGTGAGAAAGTGAAACGAACAACACAGACTGGTTAGCAATTAGTTCAAGTTAAGTTTAGTCTCTGTAGTAAGGTGAGGAGGGGAATTGCTGGATCAGCATCACTTCCATCTGAACTGATAATGCCACGAGCTGACTTCTAGTAGGTAAGTGGTAGGATGACAATGAGGATGACATTTGGCAAGTCACTTCATCACTACTTGTTCCATTAAACGCGACTTGCCTCTACGCATGTGCCCACAAGAAAGCAACTCTCCTTCCACCTCCCTCCCCTCCCTGAATATCGACTAGCTACCAATAGCACTTCACGAATGCTCATCTTCCAATTAGGATTGATGGTGTAAGGCATTAGACATGAACTCTTGGGAAATGCGTGAGAGGCATCGCTGTGACTACAAATTACCCCATCACTCTCTCTCCTCTTCCACGGTTGGTTTCAGTTTAATACATGGTAATGCATACGACTGCTGTTGTTGGGACAACGGTCTCAGTACAGACTCCTCTGCAAGCCCTACGAACGACAATTGGGCCAAGTGGAGGTGTGCGCAATGGAGCAGCAGCACCAACAATAACAGGCTGCTACAGATTAGCTTCCACGTCTCTACAATCATCTCGCATTGTCCTTCGCCTTCTCCCTCTCCCTCTCCCTCAAAGAGTGCTTCTAGACTGTGCCAAAGGATGAACTACTGTTCAACAGATGGCAAGATGCGAGTGCTTCATCACAGAGGAAATTCAACACCTGGGTACGACTCGGTGATCACCCAACTCCGACTGGCACTACTGCGTGACCACAGACCTAGTTCCTCAAACTATCCAACTAGCTGAGTAGCTTGCCACGTAGCTTCATGACCAAATGGTCAGCCAGTGCAGTCAGCCAGTCGTCACTTAGTCCGCAAGCAATGCGAGTGAAGGAGTCTGCGAGGTAGCGAGTGATAAGGTCATGTGAGGGAGGTAGCACGCAGCACAGCACTTTACACTACTGTACACTGCAGTACAGTACACTACGGCACAGCACAGTACAACGCATAATACAAAACAACACACACACACACACACTTAAATCACGCCACCACCACCACCACC